TTAAAGATTAACTACGAAAATTAAATTACAAACCGAAATTAAACTTGTTCTATTGTTACAAAGCTTGAGAGAATGCTCCAATGTTGCTTTGCTAAATTGCTGGTGGAATGGAGTTATTACAAATGAGAGAAAGCCTTCAAAATATAGGGAAAAAGTGGGACCGGATAAACTCTTTACCCAATGGGTAAAAATTTGCATTGTCCAAAGGGTAAGGACCACCCATCACCACAAGTCTACTTTATCTCTGGCCTTGTCACTTCTTCTTGAAAGGTTGCAAAAGGTAAAAGTACTCCAATAAATTATGAAAAGAAGGCTTTTCAATCAAAATAAAGGTAAGAGTATTTTCTTTGTCTTTTCATCACTTCAACCAGGTCCATTCTTCCAAGCAACTCAATGTTTAGATCTGAACTTAGAATTAAATCTCATTAATATCCAAGGGAATGAATATCTGAATTTTGTTCAAATCCAACTAGATGCAAATCTGCCATAAGATGAATGTGAGCAGAAAGTGGGCATTTTACCAATAGTAATGGGTTTTTAGAAAATAATTAAATTCTTGACCTTTCATCACCTCTTAACTTATTTTGGACCAAAAATACAAGATAGGAGCAAAATGGGTACCAAAGATACAATAAAATAGGGGTATTGAACAACAAATAACTCTCACAAAATGAGAGTTATCACACCCCCAAACTTGAGGTATTACTTGTCCTCAAGTAAAAGAAAAAACAATTAAAAAGACGCAAAAAGAAGGGAACAAGAACGAAACACTTACGGAAGGTGTTGGAAATTCGTCTAGTAAAGAAGATGTACAACTTCCTTGCTTAATCTTTGTAGTGTTGCCGTTAATCAGTAGGGCTTTTGGGTTAGTGTTTTTGACAATGATAGCGTGTATCCCTCCCCCAAACTTATCCTATACTACAAAAGGGTTTGAAACATAAGTTCTCATCGATTCACTTTTGAGTATTGGAAAAAGTTCGTGACCCATTTCTTGGCATAAACTTGCCCTATTGGATAACCGGGCTTTTTATTTTCGTCTTCCAATTTTTCGAAGACCGATTCTTTTTTTTTTTTTTTTTTTTGTTTTCTTTTCTCTATTTCTTTTTCTTCCTTTTTTTTCATACCTCCCAATTTTTCGAAGGTATATTTTTTTCTTGAACACATCCCCCCAAACTTAATATGTACAATGTCCCCATTGTTGCCAAAGGGACCAAAAAGGTATGGGTTGGGCGCAAAGGGAAAAGTGTTTGGGTTGAAAATAGAAGGAGGGCCTACATCCTTTTAACTTTAACACTACGAAAAATCATCCAAGAATGTTGTACCTGAAATAATGGAACTAGACAAAGCAAAAAGAAATCCAACACCATTTGTCATAAATATTCACACAAAAGAAATGACGTTCCGTAAAGCATACACAAAAGACGGAATAAAAGTGTATCTGTACCCCAAAAGATATACCCAAAAATAATGTTTATAGAGGCTGTGATCAAAACTCGAGAATTAAACCATTTTCTGCAAAACTGCTTACTGTGGGCAAGCAGGGACAGTATCAGCCTCCTTGGAGCTTTGGACAACAAGAGCAGCAACTGGAACAGCAACAACAGGAATGATCACAGTCGTGGTAGGGAATGTAGTAGCAACAGGAATGTGAGGAGCAGGAGCAAAAGGCGCAGCAAAAATGGAAGTAACCGGCATGTGGGTCTGCAAAGGCGGGAATCATCGAACTTGGGGAGGGCGAAGACCACTCGGGAACCGTGGAAGTTGGGCCGTCAAGAGAGTATCTTGACGCCCGTAAAGCTGTTGTTCCACCCGGTTCCAATCTCTAGTATATGCCTAAAAACGAGCACTCTTCTTTTCCAAATCGGAGACTCGGTCGTCATTGCTCCCAACCTTCTTCAATATCGCCTCCAACTTCTGATTAGTCTCTTCCCATTGAAGTACCAAGACGGACATCCATGTGGCCGACCCATACCCCGAGCCTAAAGGATTGCCTTGAGGTGGCTCGGATGGGCTGGCCTCATCATTGCCTTATCTTGGCATTTCCGCATATGGTTCGGTCATGGAGACAACGGGGGGCTCTGATATGTGCGCGGCGGGTGGCTCGGTAAGTGCAACATTCGGCGACTCCAAAACAGCGGCAACCTGTGGCTCAGGAAGAATGACCGGTGGCGCATTTGGTTGAACGGTTGATGGCGCCACGAGCTCTTTCGCATCTCTCTCAACCAGGACAGGATGCTGCAAATTTAAAAATGGCCGAGAGGCTCTATGCCGACGGTCGACCGTGTTTTGTCCCAACAAGGGAGAATTGACAACAATTGAATCATCCTCATGGGTAGGGACCCTAGCCTTGGCCATAAGCTTTGTGATAAGGGCCGGAAAGACTAGGCGTGAATGTGTCCTCTGAGAGGCTGCCAAAATGGATGCATGTATAATCGGTCCAAGGTCGATTGGCAACTCACTCATAATGCAATAAAGGAGGACGCATCGGTCCCGTGATAACGTACTATCATGAACAGTGGGGATTAAATTGTGTCGCAAAAACTGAAACCAAAGTCCCGCTTCCGTGTTTAAATGGCTGGCAAAAATGATTTGGCGCCGGTTGTCCCTCGACCATCCACGATCGGGGAGCATAAGGACGGAAGCGATATCAACATCGAAAACTTCACGAGTCCCATTCATAATCTGTGCAAACGAGCATTCCGGTGGTGGGTTGAGTCCAAGGGCCACATTAAGCTTCGGCCCCGACCAATCAACTTTCTTACCCCGAATGTTTACCGAAATGTTCTTGGTGGTGCCAACGACCGCGTAAAACTCGGTTACCCAATATACATTGGCCCGTAAAGGGGCAATCACCAAATTATCCCACCGCAAAGCCACCAAATGGTGCCTGATGGCCATAAAAGAGTTGACCAAACGTGGGTCAAAGGCCCGTTCTAAAAGAATTTTATTATTTTTGATACGGTTGTACCTCTCTTGAAATGGTATCACCTTTTCTTTATTTTTCTTTGGTGTTTGCTGTCTCTTCTGCTTTGTTGCTGCCTTCCTCTTTTTAGAAGGTTTTGGCTTACTGACTTCCAAAACCTCCTCCTCTTGAATTTCCTCTTCAAAATCCTCCCTTTCCTCTTGTTCCTCAACATCCTCGGCCACATCCTCAGCATGTTCTAAGTCCTTGGCCATCTCATCCTCATAGTCACTGTCTTCAGGCACTGGTTTTGGTAATGGATGAGGCATAACAGACTCTAAACTTGCACTTTCAAAACTACCCGATGAGGTTTATGTGCTCATAGTCTGCCCGCTGGGGGCAGTAACTGGTATTTCCTCAACAGGAACATCATGCTCTGTTTGAGTCTTAGGGGGTTGCTGTGGTGATTCTTCCAAAGACTCAGGAACAGAAAAAGAGAATAAATCCTCAGGATTGTTGGAGGCATTGGCTTCAAAATCAAAATGGAACTCCTCCCCTAAGGTATCACTAAGGTTAAGGTCAAAATCGTGTATGGTGGGTGGGCCGAGTGGTGTTGAGGGAAGGGGAATAGAGGGCTGTTAAGTGGGTGTATGATTAATCGGTGGTGGGATAGGGTTAGATAGAGGGGTTATAGAGGGTGGTATAGTTAGGGTTAGGAAAAGGGGTCTTGGTGTGGGAAGGGGTGCGGCGGCCGGCGGTCGATAAGTAGATGGACCGGCGCCGATGGTGGTGGTAGTGGTGTGAATAATAGTGGATTGGGTGAAAACGGTAGTAAATAGAGGAGGAGATGGAGTTATACTTATCGGAGTGACGACGGCATGGTACTTATCATAGTCGACCCGCACGGAGGATGATTGACCGGCGGCGGCGGTTGATGAATGTCCTGCCGGCGGAGCAAAAGCAATGGGGTCCGGCGAGAGGGGTGTTGAATAAGGCATCAATGAGCCGGCTAATGTTGTCGCTGGAGCGGCAGATGATGCTTCGCCGGCGACGGTCCGACGAGAGGAGCGACGGGCAGGCGGTCGATAAGGGGGCCGGCCGGTTGGATTGTTCCTTGTTCTAGCCATGAAAATGGAGGAGAAGATGAATAGTGAAGTAAAAATAAACCGAATGGCATACGTCGGAAAGAAAAAGTTCCAAAGGGACAAGTGAAAGTAGTTTTCTCTTGATCTTCGGGTGCAATATGGATTTGATTGTATCCCGAGTACCCATCCAAAAAACAATAAAATTCTTTTCCGGCCAACCGATCTAGCATTTGATATATGAACGGCAAAGGGAAGTGATATTTCTTAGTAGCTAAGTTCAATTGCCTATAATCCATACAAATCTTCCACCCGGTAACGGTCCTAGTTGGGATAAGTTCGTTTTTGTCGTTGGTGATTACCGTGGTACCACCTTTCTTAGGCACGCATTGAATCGGACTTACCCAACCGCTACTAGCAATAGGGTAAATAATACCCGCGTCTAACCACTTCAAGATYTCCTTCTTAACCACTTCTTTCATGATTGGATTTAGCCTTCTTTGAGGTTGYACCTTCCCAACACTATTTTCTTCCAATATGATCTTATGTTGGCAAAGGGACGGGCTTATTCCCCTAATATCAGCTATGGTCCAACCGAAAGTTTTCTTATGATCTTTCAGCAAATCTATCAACCTTTCCTCTTGTTCACCACTTAAGTTGGAAGAAACAATTACAAGCAATTTTTCTTCTTCCATAAGATATGCATACTTAAGATGTGAAGGCATTGATTTTAACTCCAAATAGGGTGCTTCTACAATGGACGGGGTTTGGGTTGGTATATCTTTAAAATCTAACTGTTCAAAGGCAGCTATGTCCTCAAGTAAGTCTTCTTCACAAATTTCTTCTGCCGTGCCCACAGTGTCTCCACTGTGTGCACAGTCGATCAAACTTAGATCTAAATCATCACCTACTGAGTATATAGACGAACAGTCCTCAGTCTCCCCATTGAACTTAAGAGTCTTAGACACATTGAAAGTTACCTGCTGGTCATTTACTCTCATGGTCAACTCACCTTTTTATACATCAATCAATGTCCTACCCGTAGCAAGAAAGGGTCTTCCTAAGATAATCGGGACATTCCTATCGGCTTCATAATCTAACACTAGAAAGTCGGTTGGAAAGATGAATTTGTCCACTTTAACCAACATGTCTTCAATTTTACCTTTCGGATATGCCAAGGACCTATCTGCTAATTGCAAAGTCACGGTAGTAGCTCGAACTTCCCCAATTCCCAACTGATTAAAAATGGACAAAGGCATGGGATTTATACTTACCCCAAGGTCACACAAGGCATGACCCACTTCTTTCCCACCAATAGAGCATGGGATGGTGAAACTTCCCGGGTCTTTCAGCTTTGGGGGAATTTTGCAAGTAAGAAGGGCACTACATTCCTTTGTCAAAGATATGGTCTCAAATTCACTAAATCTTCTCTTTTTATTGAGGATGTCTTTCAAAAATTTAACATAGCTAGGCATTTGCTCGAGAGCTTCTACCAAAGGTATGTTAATGTGGAGTTGYTTAAAGATGTCCAAGAACTTCTTAAACTGAACATCCACATTTTTGGCTTTCATCCTTCCTGGAAAAGGTAAATCTCTTAGATCCAAATCTGTTGGACCGGTCTTAATCTGTTCGGGTGTGGGCAGTTTCTGCCCACTGTGAGCAGTGTCAGTTGGAAAATGGGTGGTGCTGGAACTGGGTAAAGCTGCTGTTTCTGGAACAGAAACTGGAATTTGAGTTTCTTCAACTGTAGGAAACAGAACTAGAAATTTCGATGTGTCAAAAGAATGTGAAATATTTTCTTGACAAATCGGCTCCATGGGTGTTTCCTTTCCGGCATTAGAGTCTCCTAAGTCCTTATCACTTCTTAAAGTCACGACCTTAACATGTTCCTTAGGTGTTTCCTTGTCACTAGGCAAAGTTCCTTGAGGTCTATTTTTGAGATCCGTGGCAAATTGGCCAAGTTGGGTCTCAAAACTCCTCAAGGTGGCATTGGTTTGGTTTATAAAACCTTTAAGTAAAAATTCGAGTGAACCATTACCCTCCGATGCATTTTGTTGCCTAGGTGCATGTGGTTGTGAAGATTGTCCACTTTGGTACATGTGATGATTACCTTGCATGTGATTGTTACCTCGCATGTAATGACTGCCTTGATTAAATCCCGGGGCATTTGAAGGTCGGTTTTGGGCTTGAGTTGCCCCGGGGGATTGAAGTCCTTGATTTCCGGCCCATGAAAAATTTGGATGGTTTCTCCAATTTGAATTGTACGTTGGAGAAAATGGGCTATTTCTTGTATGGTTCCCAACATAATTTACCGAAACGGGGTTTCCGGGGCAAAACTCATAAGAATGACTTTCACCACAGAAAACACAAGACTCAGTCATGGAAGARTTAGACATTATGGATTGGACTTGATTCTTTTCCCCATTCAAGTTTAAATTATTTTTGACCAAATTAGTTAGAGCAACAATTTGGGCATTCAAAGAAGAAATGGCATCAAGCTCATGAATGCCCGAGGCAGATTTAGAAATGACAGCACGAGGGTTAGACCATTCAGTATTATTATTAGAAATTTGTTCCAAAATATCAAACCCCTCATTATAGGTTTTAGCTGTAAAAGCACCACCGGCCGTTGCGTCAATAATAATCTTAGCGGCACTAGAAAGTCCATTATAAAACGTTTCTAATTGAATACAATGAGGGATTCCGTGGTGAGGACACTTCCTAAGAAGGTCCTTGAATCTCTCCCATGCATCCGATACCGCTTCATCTTCTTCTTGGCGAAACGCCATAATTTCATTTCTAATCTTTACATTCCTCGTCAGAGGAAAGTATTTCTTTAGAAATTTTTGCGCCAAATCATTCCAAGTAAGGATCGAGTTTGGTGGTTGAGAATTTAGCCATGCTCTAGCTATATCTTTCAATGTATAAAGGAAAAGCGTCAAGCATAAGGCCTCTTGAGTAACTCCGGGAATTTTAAAATGATCCGTCATTTCTATAAAAGATTTCAAATGAGAGTGAGGATCTTCCGAAGATAATCCCCCAAACTGACCCATAGCGGAAATCATTTGAAACATAACCGGCTT